ACCTCAGCCTCCCAAAGGCGCGGGATTACAGGCTGAGCCACCGAGCCCGGCTAGGGTAGTTTTTAAAAAAACTTTTAATGTTAAAGATGTGGGGTACAATTCAGGGTTAAGTATACAAATGTTCATTATGCAGCTACCCTTGTTGATGAGGTGTGCCCCCCTCCCCTGGCAGAATCCCACTACTGCCAATCCCACCCCTGCCCCGGCAATTTCCCACTACTGACAATCCTTTTCTTACAGTATTATGATCTTTCGTGTTTTTTTTAATGTGCTACATTTTTTGGGATCAAGTCAACTCATTTAGACCCACTGATTTTATTAGCACGTAATTTAGGGAAATCATCTTAAGAAGAAAAAACTTAAGCCGGGTTCAGTGGCTCAGCCTATAATCCCACGCCTTTGGGAGGCTGAGGTGAGTGGATTGCCTGAGTCCGGGGGTTCGAGACCCGCCTGGGCAGCGAGACCTCATCTCTACAATAAATCAAAAAATCAGCCAGGCGTGGTAGCGCATGCCTGTAATTCCGGCAACTCGGAAAGCCGAGGCGGAAGGATCGCCGGAGCCCAGCAGGTCAAGGCTGCGGTGGCCGGGAGCGGCCACTGCACTCCAGTCGGGGCGACAGAGTGAGACTCCAACTCAAAAAAAAAAAAAAAAAAAGAAGAAAAAACTTGAGCAAGTATGAAGGCCAATACACCTGTTTCTATGTCATTAAACAGTTAAGCTCCTTGATGGCTCTGTCCCCAGTTTCAGCATCTGGTAGAGTCCTTTGCACCCAGGAGATGCTTATAAAATGTGACCTTGCTATAGTGACCATTAGACACAAAACTGTGAGTTCAAAATTCAGTCTAACTAACAAGCAGTGTCGTGAACGCTAGTCCTCTTTTTAGCCGTCCAGCATTTTACCTCTTTCCTATGATTGAAAGGCAGAGTTCCCCTGCCTCATGAGACTTGATAGATAGATACCTCCCACTCTAAAGACTGAAAGTGCCAAGTTCTCCTCGCCTCCCTTGTAGCTAAGGCATGATAGATAACATGACCTCTCAGACGCATCCACCCCCGTTGACACTGACAGTTGCAGAAATATTTCCTAAGGCAGATGTATCTATATTCTTTCTACCTTCTAAGAAATAAAGAGTCGCTAAGACAGCAGTGGTGGCAAGAATAATAGTGGTAAGTATAGCAATAGTGACCCTTATCTGGGAAAGACAGTTTCCAAAACTTAAGCTACACCTGGATGCTTTCCTCACCAGAACAGTTGTACTATATGATTTGGGGCATTGTTGCTGGCCACAAAATCCCAAACTGGGTTCTCCAGTCTCCCAGTGAATCTATGAGTTGCCCATCTTGTTTCAGCAAATTCCTTTGCTGCTTAAATCAGCCGGATTTTTCTGTTGCTTACAACCAAGAAACCTGATGGAAATCTAAATCTGTTAACACTATCCAAAATTGAGAAAACACAACTTCAAACCTTGTTCATCCCTCTAGAAAAGACAAGTCTAATCTATCACGACAAAATGTAGATCAGCAGTTGACTAGGGCAAGAGGTGGGTGGACGACTGGGAAGAGACACAGAGAACTTTCTGAGTGTGATAGAAATTTCCTGTTGCTTGATTGCGGTATATGGGTGCATCAATTTGCCAGAACTCATTGAATGTGTATTCTGAGTGGGTGCATTTTATTCTATGTGAATTCTACCTGAAAAAAAATTGACTTAAGACTTTTCGTTCACATACTGTAGACTGTAAAGCAATAATCGATTGGCAAGGGTGGAAAGATACCCATGGATAAAAAGGCATTGGGGAACAGCTACACAATTATAAATGAGATATATAAAGAAAGGCCCAACGTCAAAGCCATATACTTTGAACTCTTGCACATTTTTCATGTGAGAATGAAAGTAATGCCAAGATAGGGCATCTTTCCTAGTTATCTTGAGTCTCTTTATATGGCTGTTACGAGCATTATTAAGAAGAAAACTTCCTTCTCTTAATAAGCATTCATATATTTGATATCTAATGTATTCCATGATGAATATAATTAGATCACAGAATGTTAAAGCCTAAGAGGCTCAGAGAAAATTATTTCATCCAACTTCTTTATTTATAGGTGAAGCAACTGAGGCCTGGAGAGAAGAGAAGTGACTAGTCCAAAACCACACAGCTTTGAATTTTTTTTTTTTTGAGTTGGAGTCTCACTCTGTTGTCCAGACTAGAGTATAGTGGCATGATCACTGCTACTGAACCCTCAACTTGCTGGGCTCAGGTGATCCTTCTGCCTCAGTCTCTCAAGTATCTAGGACTACAGGTGTGTGTCACCACGCCTGGCTGATTTTTTTATTTATTGTAGAGATGAGGTCTTGTCATGTTGCCCAGGCTGGTTTCAAACTCCTGGCTCAGGCAATCCTCTTGCATCGGCCTCTCAAAGTGTGGAGATTATAGGTGCCCTGACTGAAAATTATTATTATTATATATTTTTTGAGTTGGAGTTTCGCTCTGTCACCCAGGCTGGAGTGCAGTGGCATGCTCACGGCCACCCCAGCGTCCACCTGCTGGGCTCTGACAATCCTTCCACCTCAGCCTTCCAAGTAGGTGGTACTACAGGTACATGCTACTATGCCCAGCTAATTTTTTTTTAATTGTAGAGATGATGTCTTGCCATGTTG